CATTACATGGAACCCATTTAATGTAGTGATCATCTGGCAGCCATTGTCATTTAAAATAAAATTAAAGAAAAAAGAACATTTGTCTCCATATGGAATTGAACCGAAATCATTACGATTGGCGTGAAAACATTTAATCACTTGGCTACCGCGGCTGCCAGTAAAAGTCATAATTTATATTAATCGTTACTAGAAAAAAAAGAGCGCCCGTGCGGGTTTGTGTGTGTGTGTGGGGGGGGGGGGGGGGGGAGGTGGTTTTTACCAGTAAAACATCAGTAAAAGAGAGACTATGAGAGATCTAAACACACACACAAACACACATGCACACACACACACACACATATATATATATCTATATGTGTGTGTGTGTGTGTGTTTGTCTACACACACACACACATAAACACTGAAACATTTAAAGAGAAACAACATTAAAATGAGAAATGTCAAATGTTACGCATTCTCAACAATGTTTTTGTGTGAGGAGACCCGGACAATGAAGATCCAATTAGAAAACGCAGTTGAGTCCCAGAATATGTGGATATAAAGAAAAATAGTTTGTGTTTCACGTAAACAGAAAAAAAGATGAAATACGGAGGTTCTGAATAAACTAGGAATGACAAGAGAGCTGCTGACGGCAAAAGAGAAGCTTTTGAAATAATTTTGCCATTTTTAAAAACGTACCACTCTGAAAGTAACCATATTGGAAGGAAAAGTTAAAGGCAGTGGGGCAATAGGCAGACAACGAAACGAGTGTGATGATAACATAATAAAATGGGAGAACAGTAGTCTGAAAGAGTATACCTCGAAAAAGAAAGGCAACGCGAGTTGGAGATCCATAGTAATTAACCTTTAGAGCTGTCACTGTACTTGACTGATACTGTAAATCTTGTGATTTCTAGTTTGTTTCGTTGCTAAAAACTGGATAGAGCTGTAGACAATATGAAAAACATAGGCAAGCTGAGTGTCATTTCACGTGGAAATCTATGAAATGACAGCTAGTACCATCCCTGAAGTACTTGTCTCTAATATGAGTCAGTACTGCTGTGTGGAGCTGAAACAAGGAGAACTGATAAACAGTTATTCATTAAGTGCAAAGATTGATTTAATGGTTCTTGTGTAGAACATGGGGACTGAGTTATAGTGAATTACAAATATGGAGCTTAGAGAAATAGATAGCTAGAGAGAGGGAGAGAGAGAGAGAGAGAGAGAGAGAGAGAGAGAGAGAGAGAGAAGATTCATTTGAATCAATAGGTGTGGAAAAGAAGCTTACGTTGGATAAAACACACTTAAAAAATGAAAAAAAAAAAGTAAATTACAATGTTTGCTGCACTGTAACCTTCAGGATCAATATAATAAAGGTATACTAAAAACACACAGAAGAAAGCAACAAGAGGGGTAAACTGAATAATTAAATATATATGGACTGGATGGTGGGAGGTGGGGAGGGAGGGCGGGTGGTGTGTTGCGTGAGCTGCATTCGATAGCAAATGTAGGACGACCTCGAATGAGCTGAGGTTTTGTGTACATCTGCGTGTGTGTAGGTAGTCCCCGTGGCGGATCGGCTAGACGCTCGCCGCGAATCGGAAGATCGTGGGTTAGCTCCATTGCGTAGCCGGACTTTTTTTTCAAAAATGGCCTTGGCTCCCAGGTCGACCTAGCCTTGAGTGGGTACCGAGTGCAGTCCCCGGATGTAGAGGCTGCCGGCAGATGCTGACCACATCGCCTATCTTGTGCCGATTGGTCTATAAAATATAGGTCTAGTCCTATATGATCTACACGCCTACAGGCGTGAAAAAGGGTCCTTCACTTTTTTTTCAATTTACTTATGTGTGTTACTGTGGATGTGTGCGTGCGTGTGTGTGGATGTGTGATGGCGTTTGTGGGTGGCGTCCTTTTTTTTGTAAACTGTAGATTGTCATGCTTTCTATTTTATTATTACTAGTACCTATTCTATGTTTTATTTCAATGAAATCTGCACCTGACAGGTACAGAGGCCCGATGGTCTACTACCAGGGTTTCCTATAGAAATCAACTATGCCGACTCCAACTGCTCTGGAGCTGACGCTATGAACGAAGCCATCAACTTTTACGTCAGAAAAAAGTTACATGTTTTCCTGGGCCCTTGTTGCGACTACGCCGCTGCTCCTGTTGGAAGGCAAACAAAGTAGGAAACATGTGTATTAGGTGTATGTGCTATGTCATGATCACCTACCGGCACAGGGTAATATCTTCAGTTGGTAATAGCTTTGCCATTGCTATTTGACCCGACTGGAGAAAGCAGATCAAATGGGTTCGACATGTGTCAGGATTTGCGATAAAATAGTGCACAGCAAAAAGCCGTCACTTAGACGTGATGGAAGCAGATCCAGATTTCGACAACGCAAGAGATGGAAAGTTCGAATATCTGAGGCCATAAATACGAGCACATAGGAAGCACATACTAAAGCTCTTACCTGCTGCCTTTTCAAAACCTGGCGTTGAAAGCAACTCACGACTAAAGAATAATAACAGTAATAATAATATTAGGAAAAAGAAAAAGACGAAGAAGAAGAAGAAGAAGACGAGAAGGAGAAGAAAGAAGAAGAAGAAGAAGAAGAAGAAGAATAAGTAAGAAGAAGAAGAAGAAGAAGAAGAAGAAAGAAGAAGAAAGAAGAAGAGAGAACAGAAGAAGAAGAGAAAGAAGAAGAAGAAGAAGAAGAAGAAGAAGAAGAAGAAGAAGAAGAAGAAGAAGAAGAAGAGAGAAAGAAGAAGAAGAGAAGAAGAAGAAGAGAAGAAGTAGAAAGAAGAGGAAGAAGAAGAAGAAGAATAAGAAGAAGAATAAGAAGAAGAATAAGTAAGAAGAAGAGAAGAAGAAGAAGAAGAAGAAGAGAAGAAAAGAAGAAGACTAATAAGACTAAGTAAGAAAAAGAGAAGAATAATAGAGAAGACGAATAAGAAGAAGAAGAATAAGAAGAAGAAGAACAAAAGAAGAAGAAGAACAAGAAGAATAGAAGAAGAAGAAGAAGAAGAAGAAGAAGAAGAATAAGAATAAGAAGAAGAAGAAGAAGAAGAAGAAGAAGAAGAAGAAGAAGAAGAAGAAGAAGAAGAAGAAGAAGAAGAAGCAGTAGAGGAAACAAATAAAAGGGGGCAGGCACATAGTCAAGTATACACACACTGAGAGAGAGAAAGAGACACACACACACATAAATATATATTGCAATTATGTACCATGCAATATAGTATGTTTACATATACATATATATGCACGCGGTGTCCGTAGCTTAGGCGTTGCGAGTCCGACTCGTGATTTCAATGTACCGCGACCGAAACTCATTGCTGGCTTGGTGGATTTTGATCATGGTATGGGGCGTCGCAGGTCGACCCAGCCTAAAATGGGTACCAGGATGTATGTCCCGGAGAAGTAAAGACGGCCGGCGTACTGCTGACCACATTACCCAGCTAGTGCCTATTGGTCTGTAAAAATATGGGTCTTCTTCTCATATGCCCGATGCGCCTACAGACGTGAAAAATGATCTTTACTTTACTTTTACATATATATATATATATATACGCTTCTCTAGGGCTGAGATGGTCTAAATTTCAATGTCTCTGAAATAAAAGTGTTAACATTGTTTTCTTTAGAATTCCTTACCTACCATGAAACTTAGTAGCACACCAGAGGTCAAAGGAAAATTAAGTAATTTATCAACAAAATATATACACAATATTAATTAACATACATGTCATATTTTTAAAGGATTCCTATATAGCACATACCATACTCCAAGACTGGACAGAAGATAACAGGTATACTGTTCTTGACCATAGAGAAACAAACTTCGCTGAGAGCTGCCGGAACTGACAAATATCAATAAACTCATACAAAAGACATTTCAAATTTTGAAAGGAACAGATTTATTTTGTTTGCATTTTTTTTCAGTGAACAAAAAAATGCCTTGAAACTGACACGATTTGGAATTAGTTCGCCCTCTCACTTCGGATATTGTTCGAGTTTCGAAGCACCACTGTTTATGAAATGGAAAGAGCGAGAGAAAGAACGTTTCCATTAACTAATATATCTGATTTTCTTGTTTTCTTCCGTAAAAGCTCTCACCCCTAACGCTTTATTAGTGCAAAAATCTTTTGTATTTTGCTATTGGTAGATACTGGAACATCCCTATGATCACAACGGCAATTGCTCGTGATTTCACAGTAGAGAAGCTCAACAAGTATCCGATGGTCACTCGAGTCTGGGCTACCATTAACAAGATGGCCGAGTTTTTCTCAAAACTTGTAAGTGCTCATGATACTCTGTTGTAATTGTGTTCATTATCATCATCAGTATTGTCACCATCACTATCATCGTTATCATCATCAAATTGTGTCCTTATAAGTTACACATGGCTAAAACTTTAAAACTCCCATTCGTTCAATATCATACTTGGAATCCATCCAGCACGGGTTAAACTCTCAAAACTCTCGTTGGTCTTAGGGTGTCTCTGTAGTACCTCTATCAAATTATAATTGACACCATATGGCCCTGATTATAGATAATATTATTTCTTCGATGTTTTAATCTGGTAATTAAAGACCGTTAAAATGTCTTTAAACACACACACACACACACACACACACACACACACACACACACATATATATATATATATATATATATATATATACAGCCTTAAATTTGATTAGAATTGGAACTCTCTGTCCATTACATCACTAATATACAATTTTTTAAAGCTTAGTTAATTACAAAGCTGTTGTGGCGGTTTCCATTGTCTGCAGTCAATGTCTTGGAGCAACAATTGTGAACTGATCAGCACTTTTATTGCCGATGTCTCTAAAGAAATTAACATACGATGTGAGAAAAAAAAAAGGTTTTGTTACAATTAACGCCGCTTCTGACGCATAGAAAGATACCTCTGTCAACCGAAACAAATCTCAAAAAAAAAAAAAAAACATTTTTTTTTAAATTGGGGTAGGGGGTGGGGGGAGAGACATTATGCTACCAGTGGCAAATATGGACCCTTACTACAACTAACGAGCGTAAGATCATAACAACAAAGATGAGATGTCTTAGGAGAGCTGCCAGTGTGAAAAGAACAGATAAAATCTAGAATACCGAAAATTAGAAGAAGACTAGGACAGAAACAGTCATACAATTCATTAAAAAACAACAGATAAAATGGTTTGGCCACCTGACGAGAATGCCCTGGTACCAACTGTCCCAGAGAGCCACGCTGAAGAAATACAATGAACACAGGGAAGGGGAAGACCACGCAAGATATGGAGCGACATCACTAGGAGAAACCTAACAGAATGAACACCAACTTGTACATTGCATCAGGAAAAGCGCGAGCGAAGAAACGATCTTCACATCTCCCCCCCCCCCCCCCCCCCCCCCAAGATCTTGCTGCGGTAAATGGTGTAGGAGAAGAAGAAGAAGAAGTCTTCAAAGCAAAGCGACTTTTTTTTTCCAGTAAATTAACATCACTTTTTTTAAAGGTTCAACGCTATGTCAGAATAAACATATTGCTGCACAATTTAAAAAAGGTACGTAATCATCGTGCGTGGTGCCAAAAGTACAAGTTTGTTCGGCAAGGATTTAAACCAAAAAAAAGTAGCAAGTGTGTACGAAAGTACCATTTTCGACAGCTCCGATGGTAGTTCTACTTGTAACCAACTTCTCATTGTAATAATCAGTAGAGATACCTTAGTATGGTTACTGCATCTGAGGACTGAGCATGCATAGGAATGCCCAGTGTGCAGTGATATCGACTGTAATTACATAACATCTTAGAGCTAAACTGCAGCTTGGTGTGCGATGTGCTGTTCATCTCTTGTTACTAGCTAAATCACTAGCTCTAATTATTATGATCAACGCTTAGCTGATTTTATTGCACTTCGGTACTACACTGTTTAATAATCGTCTCCACACAAAAGGTTCGTTGCAGCGGCTCTTCAAAATTCTCTGTCTGATTGTCATTGTTGTACACTCTTCGAGACCTCTTGTTCGTCCATCTCTTGGTGAAATTCTTCAACTTTCTTTAATGTCTACTGCTTGCTCTCTTGTCCCGTATCCCATTTGGTATAGTTTTTTTTTTAATAGAGACTATTATTTGTTCATGTGGCCGAAACATTTCTCGTGTTTGTTTATAGTTTCTTTTATCAACTGTTGTCCAGTCTTTTCACAACTAACCCTTGTTTTAGTTTCCACTAAAAAACACATTTCTTCCATGAATCTAGTTATTCAGAAAATTGGTTTGAAATTTTTTCTGATCGTTACCTTTCGGAAATACTAAATAATAGAAGACTTACGCAGCTTGGCAAAGGCAACGTCGAGAGTCAAGTTGTATATTTGGCAAGAATACAGCAGATTGCAAACAAGGCGACTCTCACTAAGGTAACACAAAAGGGGAGATATACATTCTCAGAGATAAAGATCTCCTAGCCTCTAAGTCAACTGAGCCTAAAATGTACATCAGTAAATGTCATGGGAAGTGTTTGCTGCTAATTTGATCTTGATCACATCGCTTATCAAGCACTTATTTGTCTACGAAAATGTTGGTTTGTCATTATGTGTCCAATCCGTCAATTACTTTAATTTTCAACCAATACAAATATAATAAAATAGCCCAGTGAGGAAGAAGAAGAGCAGACACAATCACAGCAAAAGCGAACGGACGACTCTTGTCACATCAAATCCTTGTATATGAAATCAAACCACCGAGATCGAGAATGGCGATGGCGGCAGTCACTCCAGGTATCCGGCTATGTGACTAGCAGACTCGCGAAGCCCACTGAAAAACGTGGAGACAGGTATGCATTGACCAGAGTGGCAAGCATCGCCTTCCTAATTGAATATAAATCGAATGTGTACATTTTTATGAAGGGTGGTTAATTAATTAAAAAGTTTGACATTTTCATTTTTTTCCTGTTTGTTTTCCTTCTAAACTTTGTTATAAAACATATGTAAACATATGTTAGTTTCATGGTGAAATAGTCAAGTCGCTTGTCACGCTTTGAGGTCGTGGGTTTGTTTCTTGGCTCTCGGCTCAGGAGGGCAGCTGATAAGGAGATCCCTCTGGACTGCCGCTGGAGCTAGCGTTCGTGCTTTGTGCGATACTCGTGAGAGTCGCCTTCGTGTTATGCGGAGAGAGACCGAACCAGATATAATAAAGCAATGAAACAATGAAATAGATGCTTTCAAACAAAACCTTATCTGTAACTTATGTTTTTGAAACATCATAATTAAACGTGGTCACTTTCAGTTCAATACGTTTTCCTGGCGCCAAGTCAAAATCATCTATGAGCCCAAAGGTCTGGACATGTACCTAGAACACATGTGTCACGTGACAGCAGAGAGTCTGCACTTCGTGCTGACTGACTACTACCAACTCAGCGTCCCTTACTACAAGTTTGAGAGCACCCCAGAGATTCTGGACAAAATGCACGAACAGATTGGTCTGAAGGACGCCAGTGAGTACCTTTATGTTGTGCCAGTGAGTCTGAAGTTCTAAGCAATGTGGTCATACTGATTTTTTTCCCTTGAGCGAATGCTGTCTATCGATAATGTATTAGTTTGAGGTTAAAATCCGGCAACCTTAGGAAATGCGGAGGTCGGATTTGTGTGTGGTCATTACGTGGTAACCAATGTGGTCATTCTGTTGTTTTCAGCGAATGCTGTCTCGATAATTTAGCGAATGGTGTCTCCATGTCATGCATTACATGTTGACATTCAATAATTCGTGAGCTCTTGACCTCCTGAACTCAAGTTCAAAGCAATATGTTACACTGCTGTCTACTTTTCAGCGAATGGTATCTCTTGATAACTTAATTTAGTTTAACATTCACCAATTCGGCAACCCTAGGACCTGACGAGTGCTGTGTTTATGAAAATGCCAGATATTTTATGGTTTTATATGCTGTGTATATTTACCAGAAAACGACTATATGCCCATCCCTTTAAAGAAAGAAAATTAAACATAAAATGAAATGCTATCGACATTGTAATATTATCCACCTCAATAAAACGGTGCTTGAGAATCTTAGTTCACCTGAATAAAATAGTTAATCAGCATTTTTTTTTCTCGAATATTCTCATAATTTTATTTCAGCTAAATAAAATACTGTCTCAGCTGATTATACAGTACATTTGCATCGAAAGAAATGTACACATCGCCTCCAGAAAGCAGCGGTGCGCAAAATAGGCAAATTTGAAAATCCGCTCTGAAACCCATGCCGGAAATCTAAAGGAACCGGATTCTAGATGGCTGTGTAAGATGTGTGTGTCTTGTAATTATACGTGAGAAGAAGAATCAAAACTTGTCCGATGATCATAGGTGATAACTAAGGAGCTGCTTACCGAGTGATAAGAACATGGGATTCTCATGCCGGAGAATCACCAGCAGGTTGATAGAAGTTTATGTAGGATCCCTTTCAACGCCATCAGGCGTGTTTGACAAAAAAGAGTAGACTATATTGTGAAGACAATTGACACTTGGTGGATGATGTGGATAGCATCACGCTGATCGCCTTTACTTCCCAGGACTTTTCGTTGTGCCTATTTAAGGTTGGCCTGACCTAGAAGCCAATGCTATTTTTGTAAATGCCCGGCTCCTTCCAGATATAAACCCACCACATGCCGATCTGCAGCGAGCGTCTAACCGCTACAACTGGGTGGTTCTGTCGTAGGAAAAACTTAATCATTGTAACCTGCACAGCCCCAGGCGGCTGCACTAACCACGCGACCCTTATCTCCAGGCTCAAGATCCCATGTCCTACAGTACAATCATAACAAGTGGCATCACGGGCACACACTCACACACACACACACACACACACACACATACTCACACACAAGCTGTGTTTCGTTCTCTCCAAATGTCTTGGATGCCAGTGGAAGCTGACTGTGGGTGTTTCTGTGGACCTCAAAGAGTTAAAACAGCTTAAATGTATTATTGTTTTTTTTTTCCTTGCGGACTTATTTATACAGCATTGGTATAATTAATTGGTTTCTGTCGCTACAGATACTAATAAAAAGCTGTATTCTTCACCGCGACTGCTTCATATCCACCATATTTTATCTTCACTGTATTCCATTTTTTTAACCCTACTTTTTTTTAATCACCAGCTCCAACAGTCCCCTATATGCGCCGCGATGACAGTGATTAAACTCCAGATTGCATCATATTTCGCTGAAATACTGTCCAGCTATTTGTAGGCCTCGTTAATATTTCCCAGAGAATATTTCCATTTTCTATTTAGAGAGTCCTTTTATTTTT